GTATCATTAAAAAAAAAATATTTTATTTTTTTTTTTCATTTTTCCTTTAAAAATTTTTTTTTTCTCATTTCGTTTTATTTTTTTTTCTCATCTTTAAAAATATACTTTATATATATTTTTTCATTTTCCCTTTATCTTTTAAAAAAAAAAAAATTTTTTTTTTCGGATTGATCTTTTCTCATTTTTAAAAAAAAAAATTTTATTTTTTTTTCATTTTGATCCTTTATTCTTTTTTAATTGACTCTAAATATACTTTTAATTGTTCGTTTAAAGATATTATGGATTCAGATAATGGTGAAAGTCAACATACTTCAGATAATAAAGTAGATCAATCAAAAGCTACAACCCCAAGAAGGTTAAGTGATGTCATGGAATTGCAATTGTCAGAAATTACAGAAAGTTTAGGAAGTTATGTTTGAAATCATTTTACAAAAGATCCAGACTATAAAAATAATAAAAAAGCTAATTGTAATTACTGCCATAAAACATATATATGTTCTGCTGGTACTACTTCTGGAATTTCAAAGCATTTAAAGAAGTTTCACGTTACAAAATTACTAACTGAAGGTAATCAAAAAGTCAATAAAAGTATTTTAGATATGTTTAATGAATCAAAGGTAAATACACCATTTTTTTATTTTATAAAAAAATTATTTTAATAATTTTAATAACAAATTTATATTGTAACTAGTAGTTATATGATAAAGATACTATAATAATGAAGATTCTTATTAGATGGATTGTTATTCATCAGCATTCATTTACAATTGTTGAAGAAAATTGTTTTATTAATTTTGTATATTCCCTTTATCCATCAGCAAAAATTCCTAGTGCTGATACAATAAAAAATAAAATTATGACTTATTATGAGGAAGATAAAGTAAAAATGAAAGCACTTCTTAAGGATCTTCCTGGTAAAGTTTCTTTTACCATGGATTGTTGGACCAGCCCTTCAACCAAATCATTTTTATCAATAACTGCACATTTTATCAATAAAGAATGGAACTTACAAAATATTATAATTGATTTTATTCAAACACAAGATTCTCATACTGGAAGTAATATAAAGGATGCATTTTTATTAGGTATAAGTAATATGTCACTTGAAAGTAAGGTAAATTAATGTTTATTTTATTTATTTTTTTATTAAAAATAAATTAATTAATTATATTAATATTTATTTATTTTATTTTATTTAGATTATGGGAATAATAACAGATAATGCTTCTAATAATTCAACATTTATGACTTCTTTATCAATTTGGGCAGCAGAAAATGTTGTTAATTCTAATAAAAAAAAACAGCATATTAGGTGTTTTGCTCACTCAATCAATTTAAGTGTAAAAGAAGCATTAAGTTGTTTGGATGGTGAAATTTCTTTGGTAAATTTATTAATTATTTTTATTAATTTGTTTTTTATTGAATTTTTTTAATAATTAAAATAAAATTTCATTCATGTTATTTAGCTTAGAGAACTAATTGTTAAAATTCGTGCTTCTTCTTTAAGAAGAGAAAAATTAAGTAATGCCTGCAAAAATAATGATATTAATGATTTAAAGCCCATCTTGGATGTTCCTACAAGATGGAACTCAACTTTTGACATGATAAAGAGAGCTTTACAATTAAAAGTTTTAAGTTTTATTGTATTTTTAATATTTTAAATAATTTTAATTATTAATTATTATAAATTTAAATTTAATAGGCACTTGAATATATTGTATTTCATGATAAAGATCTTAAAAAACTTTACAGAAACCTTGAATTTTTAAACAATACCGAATTGATATAATAATGATGTTAAATAAATATCGTGGCGATATCGATTTGCAAATAATATCATTATGATATCGCAATGATATCATTTCAATATTAATTCAATATATCAAAATGATATCGTAAAGATATTTGTTTGAAAAAATATCAGATCGATATCATTTCGATATTGTTATAACAATAATGAAAAATAGAAAGTAAATACGATATTAATATGATATCGTTTTGATATAACGAAACGATATCATTTTGATATTGTTATAACAATAATGATTTTTTTTTAATAAATGCAATATCAATATAATATTATTTTAATATTAATTTAGTATCAAAATAATATTAAAATGATATTATCTACAAATATTGAATTTACCTTTAAAAATATCAAATCAATCAAATATCGTTAAATTCAATTTTATAATATTTTAATAATTTGTAATCTAATTTAAAAGTTAATTTCAATAGATTTAAGTTACCGGTTATTTATTACAATAACAATTTTAATTACAGATAAAGTATACATTAGTTTAAATATTATATAACAGATAAAAAAAAATATCAATAAATCTATAATAAACTAATTCAATAAATTAGAATTATGAGTTAAATTGGTGATGTAAGTCAAAACATTATGCCTTAATACTCCAGAATCATAACTCATCAAAGTTGAGGATTAACCGGGTACCTTGCTTTAGATTCAGCTACACTGCCCAAGTTGGATGGGGTGTCACAGATACGCTTTAAGAAGACTCACTATGACTCTATTGCAAAAAGGATAAGTATATTCGAAAACACCAGACATAAATTCACCTCAGAAGTTTGGCGGAAAACCCCTGTAAACAACTGCAGTTTCATCATTACCAAAATCATTGAACTTAGGGATACAATGAAAAAGTTCATTAGAATGACGTCTTTAAAAAAAAAATACAAATATATTCTCAACTTTGACAATTCACCCTTATTCTTTGGCCTGGAATTCTCATATGACTGCATTATTGTTGTTTGTAATTTGATCCATTGAATTCACCATAAATTGCCTGGCAAAGTGAACTTTTATTAGACAACCATAGCTTCATCAACAAACGTTGCAATGTATTTGGACGAATGACATCCTGTTTAATAAATTTTAAATGGGCAAACGTGGACCTAAAACCCATTAAAGATAGGCTGCAAGAAGTGCAAAGCAACCTACCAACCCACGAGTGGGTCTAAGGGTTAGGGAATAAAATATACGCCAAATACACACAATTTGGTATGGAGTTAAAGTCTTACAAACTAAAAATTATTTTTGCCACTTAATTCTCCAATAATCAATGTTATAAAAAAGTTACTTACTACTTAAGCCTACTTAATTATATATAAAATGATACTTCGAACAAACAGAGCTCATGATATATGAGAATATCCCATCATACCTATTTTAACCCTTGATTAAAGGATTTTCATTATGTTAATTATATAAGCTTTACGCCTATATAACATAAGCTTACACCTATATAATTCAAGTCCGCCTTTTCCTATAACACACTATGCACGACGGCAAACGGTATAGAAGGCAGACTCTACTTTCAGAAAGAAAGTTTTTTTTTTAAAAAAAAAAATGTACAAAATAAATAGTCTTAAATAAAATAGTGGTTAAATTGACTTTTTAGGAATTAATAGCCTTATAATATACGCAATCATTTAATATATGCGATCATTTAATATACGCGATTATTTAATCAGACAATTTATTAAATTTGGTATTACACTAACTTGATCAACCTGATAATTGTTTAGTCTTTTATAGGTGGATATTTCTTGAATTATCACCTGAACTTTTCAATTTTTTGCAGAATCAAAGATGAAAACCAGAAAAGTATTCTGATTCAGAATTTTTTTAAGAAATGTGTTTGTTATTTTGTAAATTACCAGTCAGAATTGGCTTAAACTTTAAAGTTCTTACTTTACGCAAATGTTACGTAATTGTATTCTTTTTGATCTGTATAAATTCTTTTTGATCTGTATAATAACGTCAAATATATAGAAATATTTAGGCCGTATACATTAAAGAAGAAACGTCACATAATAACCATTCCATTTTTAACAAAACAACAATTACTTTTTAAACTTGAAAGTGTTATATCTTAGACAAACATTTTATAGTTTTATACATCCATTTTATTTTATATTATTATCACTCGACATTATGATATAATGTTTAGAATAATGATGTTTTATATTGTAAAATTTACTAAATTTATTCAATGTAATATCGTTATAAAATGCATAATTTTATAAAAAAATTAGAGCGTTTGCTAAGATTTATAACTATATATAATTTAATATTATTATTAATAACTATGATTAAAGGATTATATGGGCGGATTTGAATCATTAATATAATTTCCTTTATTAGTCTTTTTGCTCACACAAAACTGATCCGCATACACGAATTTCATATCAGGTGAAATGTCAGGTGAATAGATGATCAATCAAAAAAATTATCATCACCTTGGCCAGTCGCAAATCGAAATAATTAATAAAAAAAAATGCGTTTTTCTCATCCCACCACTACGATTTCTCATCCGACTGAACTAGGTGTATATATCGACCAATTTTTCTTCTGAAGCTGCAAAATTGCATTATTTTTATTTTTTTTTATTTTTTTTTATTTTTAGTTATTTTTTTCTCATATTTTTATTTTCTCTTAGGTTTTTAATGACAGGATCCTAAGTCTCAGTTAGGTTCTATTGTTCAATCTGTAAAAGGCGTACTAAGGGATTTAAAAGTAAGTCAGGATTGCAATGACATGAAACATTAAAACATAGTTCGTATAACAATCTCCCACCTCATATACAACCTGTTCCAGATTCAGAACTTACACATTTAAAAAAAGCAATAATTAAAGAGCTACAAAAGCGACTCAAGAATCATCATAATGCAATAGGAGAACAATCTTTTTCAATACATTGTAGTGAGGATGCTTTCATTGGCATTTTCAGGTCACATATAACTCGTTACTCTTCGTGTTGATCTTATTATTTTTGCAGTTTCAAGTGATAAAATGCATTTGATGAAATTGGATAAATACTTAATGATAAGAACTGGGTGGAACGTAATTATGGACAAGGACAATTAAGTTTTGTTCGTCTACATGTACCTGAAATTGATAATTCAAATATTAGTAACAAGAGGAAAACTAAAGCAAAGTTATCAGAAAATGGCGAGATGACTATCACATGGAAGATGATGGGTGGTGTAGACAAGGAAAATCATAAATTTGAAGCGGGTACTGCTCAATTTCATTTTTTTTTGGATCAATGTCAAATTTAAAATATCTTAAATATGGGAATGTGAAAATAATAGAACTAAATTATGCAAGATTTCCTTGTGAATTTTTTTTTTAGATATGTTTGGGGACGCATGGCTAAATTTAAATAATAAAACAATCAAAAAATCAGACTAAATTTACTAAAATGATAGAACTCTTTAATTGAACAAATTTTTATTACTTACTGCCTTTTTAAAAAGAAATTAAGATAATAATAATTTAATTATCTAGGAAGCTTTGCGTAAAGTAATTACAAATTTATTAATAAATTTAATAAATAAATAAACGTCTAATTTTAGTTAAATAACTAATTAAAAAAAAAATAATCTAAATTTCATTTAGTATTTTCTAAATTTTCTTACATTAAAAATTTATCATTGTAAAATTTACCAATATAAACATATTGCACCTATCACTTCTTTTCGTCCTCTTCATCTTCCATCTCTCCCATCATTTCTTTTTATCTCCCATCACTCCTCATCGTCTCCCATCACTTCTTTTCATCTCTCATCACTTCTTTTCATCTCTCATCACTTCTTTTCATCTCTCATCACTTCTTTTCATCTCTCATCATTTCTTTTCATCTCTCATCATTTCTTTTCATCTCTCATCACTTCTTTTCATCTCTCATCACTCCTTTTTGTCTCCCATAGTCCCATCACTACTTTTCATCTTTCATATAAATTTTCATTAATAAACAGAATTATTATTACCGTTACTGCATTAATTTAATATTATTTATAAATCATATATATATAATATTTCATTTTAACGCTCATTAACCCATTTCAACCTCCAAATCTGAGTAGTCTTTCTATTTAAAACTATTAATACCTTTTCTTGAGCTCTGATTTTTGCCTTTTGATATTTAAGAACAATGATCTCTTGTTATTCATGCTTACCGATCCTGCATTTCACTTTTGAATTTCTGCTTCAGTTGGTAATGCAATCCTAGAATATAGGATAATTTCAAAAAACAATATACTCCAAAAAAAATTCAAAATAAAATTTCTCTATTCACGTTTATTACCAAAGTTTGGTCATATAATAATGTTTTGATATTAAACAATATTCTTTTCACTCGCCCACATTAAAAATTTTATCTTATATTCTAATTCTCTCACATTAAAACCTTTATTTCTCGTAAATCCTTAATAATTATAAATTAATTTTAGAATTAATAAAACCCGATTTGTAGATTTGATAATAGAATAATATCCTTACATTATTATTTAAATTATAATTTTTACTCATTATTTTCTACTTTTTACATTATAATTTTCATTTTTCTACACATCCACTTAATCATAAATAATAACAATTAACAATCGCTCTATAAAAATCGAAAGTTATTGGAATTTGGAGGATAATTTAAAGTTTGTTGATATTTATTTAGTAATATTTAACTCTATATGAAAAAATATATATGGTATTTAATAAACTTTGTAAATTTTTTCTATGCTGTCACAAGTTTCTCCTCTCCATCTTTAAAAGTGAAAAAAATCAAATAAACAATAAGAATGTGCTTTTTTTAATTGTGTATGGCATTATGTTTATACAAAAATTTATTTAATGAAAAAATAATTTTTTTAATCGTGTATACCACTAATGTTTATACAAAAAAATTATTTAATAAAAAAATAAATTTAAATTTACCATTTTTTTTTATTTATCTGATTTTTTTTTTGTGTAGCATACTAGCAATTCTTTGTAAACAAAAAATATCGTCTAAAAATAAAATTTTCCAAAAATAGTAAGTCTCGTGTTATTTTTGCACTGTTTATTTATAATACTACGTAATATAGTAGGTACCTTGCCATGTACCTGCCATAAACAATAAAACTTAAATTACGAGTTGATATTTATACTGTGAACAGAATTTTAACAAAGCAAATAAATTTCACTAAAATGAAGGAAGAAAGTAATTATCCTAAGAGTCCTTTTATTAAACTTTTTGATGAAAAAAAAAGCTTTAATTACAAAATTATAAAAGAAGGGACATATCCTCCTGCTGAACAACTTTGTTATACTCAAAACCCAAAACATCCCATTCCACACGGGTACATCGTCGAAACTCAGCATACAAAAAAACATATAGTTGAATGTTCAATTGAATATGTAGAAGTAAAACCTTTATTTAGAATTCGCTTTGGAACAAATTTTTCAAGAGAAGTATATTCTTTAGAAACCTCAACAGATGCTGCTTGCAAATACTACCAAGTATATTTGTTTTTAGTATGGCTAATTTTCTCTTATCATAATACTAAATGCTTAAATAATTAATTAAATAATCAGGAATTAATGAAAGATTAAAATACTACAAATAAAGGGAAAATATCAGGTCCTTTACTTTTTGGCCTTAAGTTACTTAGTATTGAAAAAGAGCGTAAAATAAGACCTTTATAAATTAATTCTAGGATTCGTCCATTTATTGAACTTATCTATTTTACAAAACGCCGTAAAATGTTAAGTTTATCACAGCATATTTTTGATATTGTTGAAGCGGAAAAGGAAAACAAATTTCATCCAACTGATCAAATAGAACTTAATCAGATAAAATTTAAAACTTGCAATGGTTTATATGAGATTAACTTTGGACAGCTGGATAAAATGAAAGAAAGAAAAAAAATTGAAGCAGTAGTTAAATCTTTGGATAAAGGTCATATTTCGAGAGAAGCATATCGATCTTTAGCACGAATTGAACCAAACATTCCACGTGAAGGTGCAGTATCTGATGCCCGGCAAAGAATAAATTCAGAAATGAAGAAAGTGATTTCTCTAACTCTTGTTAATTTATCACAGCCAACTGTTTTTGATCCAATTACAGAAGAGCCAGATATCACTAATAATATAATTATTACAAATATGCTAGAATCAATTGGAAAGGAAGGGCAGAGACGTGTAACAGATATTTTGAATTATATTGTTCCATCATATATAAAGCAAGGAATTTTGATCCCTGAAGTTTCAACTTTACACATTCAAATTTCAGGAGATGGAAGGAACGTTGGTCGAAAAGTAAAGCATGTAATGATAGTAATGACATTGTTAAATAATTTGAGTGGATTACAAAAACTGGAAAATTATTACACATTAGTCCTATACCTAGGTGCTGAAACATATGAATCTCTTAAAAATGTTTTAGTTCCTTTAATCTCTGATCTCTGTAATTTAAAAAAAAATGGTTTTAATCAAATAGTTGGTAATCACTGGCCAGTAGAACTGTACTTTAGTTCTGATTGGAAGTTTTTGGCAATCTGTTTAGGGATAAAGGCTGCTAATGCACAGTACTTCTGTCCATGGTGCGATTGTAGAAAAGATGAAATAAATATCAAATCTAAAATAATAAATAAATCAATGGATAATATCAAAAAGAACTATAATCAAACTAACGGTCATGTAAAAGAACCATTATTCCATATGATACCATTAAAAAATTGGGTATGTGATGAGTTGCACTTTTTTTTGCGAATCACAGACAGATTATTGGAGTTGATGCTTTCAGATCTTCAACGTGAAACTAGAGATGAAGAAATCTGGAAAATAAAAATTTTATCAGAAATGCAAAGGCTTAAAATATCATTTTACTTTTGGCGTGAAAAAACCAATAATAACTTATCATATACTTCGTTAATGGGCCCTGATAAATTAAAGATTTTAAAAGAATTTGATCTTTCAGCTGTTTTTCAATCAAAAACACGAGCTGAACAAATTCGTGCATTATGGAACCAGTTTTATAAATTGTATTTATTAATGCAGAATAAAACAACAACAAAAAAAATATTTTGCCATGAATCTCAAGCGTGGTTGGATGCATTCTTAGCCCCTTCCACAGGCCACCCTAACAAGAATAACTTTGTTAGATGAATGTATCGTACTCAAGATGTTACACCATATATTCACGTATTGGTAAATCATGTAGGAGAATTTCTTGAAATTCATCAGGAATTTGGGTTGGCTGCCTTTTCATGTTCAGCTGTTGAAAAAAAAAACCATATGCAAGTATGTCTTTATTTTTAAAACACATTAAAAGATGGGGGACATGAGAATTCACGAAAATCTGCAATCTTGGAAATGTTAGAACATGAGAATCGGCAGTTATATTTTGCATTAAATGAAACTCCAAACTTTTTCGAAGCTCCCAAAAAATTCAGACTAGAGTAAAGTTAAACCAATACAATTTTTTTTTAATTTGAAAGAAAAATTATAATAAAGATAATGACGCATTGATGCTATACAAAAAATATACAAAGAAATCTATAACAAAGAAAATCTTAACTAATACATGAAAATTAATCATTGTTGTTGAGACCATATCTCATTATCCCTACCAGTTACCTCTCTAACTAAATTGCGCGTAGGGATGCTAGTTTCATAGACCCATTTAGAATACCCCAAGTCTGGTTTCCTAATGCCAGTATTCCTACAAGAAAAAAGAAGAAAGAAGCGTTAATACACTTCTTAAACAAAAATAAATCACCTCTATTTATACTCACTCGCTCTCTCATTAAGTCCAGTTATTAAAGCGGGCATTCTTACAAAAGAAGTAATTACATTTTTAAGAAAAAAAAAGATCCCGCCTATTATAAAACATACACGCCCATTTCTCAATTAAGTTAATTTTAAGTCCAGTTCGTTAAAGCTGGCATCCCTACAAAAAAGAAAGAAGAAAAAGAAACATTACTATGTTTCTCAAACAAACAAATAATTATACGTATTCTGTTCTCATCTGTTCTTCAATTAGACTAAATTCACAAATTGGTTAAAAGCTGGCGTTCTTACCAAATAAATTTTTTTTTATTAAAAAAATTTTTTTTTTTGTTCAGATTGAATTGATTATCCGATCATATCTGGATTTAATATTAATACTACTGTATCATGTTAAAAAAAAAAAATTTTTATCAAATTTTACGTTAATCGCGTGATATGTAAAGTCTGGCTGAAATTACGTTAATTCTAGCCGGAATGAAAATTTTGATAAATTGAAATTTTTTTTTAAATTCATATGCACATTGTACCAAGCATTTAATTTTGAATTGTTATTTTTTATTTTATATAATAGAATCAATAGCTATTTATTATAAAATAAATCCACCAATATGTATGAAACATCATAATTCTAAACATTATACCATAATGTCGAGTGATAATAATATAAAATAAAATGGATGTATAAAACTATAAAATGTTTGTCTAAGATATAACACTTTCAAGTTTGAAAAGTAATTGTTGTTTTGTTAAAAATGGAATGGTTATTATGTGACATTTCTTCTTTAATGTATACGGTCTAAATATCTCTATATATTTGACGTTATTATACAGATCAAAAAGAATTTATACAGATCAAAAAGAATACATTTACGTAACATTTGCGTAAAGTAAGAACTTTAAAGTTTAAGCCAATTCTGACTGGTAATTTACAAAATAACAAACACATTTCTTAAAAAAATTCTGAATCAGAATACTTTTCCAGTTTTCATCTTCGATTCTGCAAAAAATTGAAAAGTTCAGGTGATAATTCAAGAAATATCCACCTATAAA